GAGTGTAGGATAATGTAATTGGCCAAAAGTAAAATAGAGTACTTCTTCTATGTCGCTCAGAGAAAATCGCCTTTTCTCTTCGCGCAAATATAGAAAACGCGTTACTGCTTATAGCGAAGAAACACGACCATCAACCGAGCGGTAAAACCAGACGTGCTAGATGAAATCGATTTCCACTGTTTTCACTTTCGCCAATGATCGTTCACGCCATCGTCTCAGTTAAGTGTGTAAAATCACAGTACGCATAATCTCGGACCCCTCGGAGAGGTATATATTATTAATATATATATAAACCGACCGCAGCAGAAGACGCGATCGGTGATCACCTGCCTAACGCGGCGAAAGTTGCTGACGCTCTGCCGCGATAGCTATAGCGGACGTTCCGTCGACCGCGCCGGTGGACGAGCAACGCTCGTCGATTCGCTCCCGCACACAGACAAAACAACTGCACACACCACACACACACACCACACACACAGGAGTCCCACAACCCACACACGAGCCCACCACACCCACACACACCACACACACACAGCACCCACACACACACACACTCACACACTCAACACACAACACAGCACACACAACACACATGACACAGCACACACAGACACAGCAGAACCCACATCGTCACACACACACCAATAGCAGCACACAGACACACCACGCACACACACGAAACCACACACACACACACACACGCACGTAGCACACACACACACAGCCCACAACACATGGCCACGCACGTACCTACCACACACACAACACACCACCCAGAACCACACCAGGCCAGCATCACACCCACCACACACACACACACTCACACACACACACACCACACAACACACACCGAACAACGCAACGTCCCACAACAACAACACAGCAGGCACACACACGCAAGCAGCCGAGCCATAAGACACACCACAGACAGTCCACACACAGCAACACTCACAAACACATCACAGCACACACACACACAACAGGATCACACACACACAGCATGACACTACACAGGACCGGGGAGCACTACGGCACACACACACACACACACCACCATACACACCCACACACACACAACACACCACATCAACACAACCACGCACATCCAGCACCCCAAATCCCACACACACACACACACACACACACACACACGCGCGCGCGCGCGCGCACACACACACTCGAGACCTTCCCTCGCGCTCCGCTGGCTCTCGCGGTCGTAGCCGCTGGCGCCGAGGAAACGACGAGCGTCGGAGAGGTGTGCGTGAGCCTTATCGCTCCGTACGCATCAGTTCTTCACGCGTATCCTCCTGTCGTGTCATCGTCACACTTTCGTTCGCGCACATCGCGGATGCAATCCGCCAAACGGTTGACGGAGGAGAAATCTCCTGTATATAGGCGCCAGATTGAATAAGGCGTTGGCGCGCGGTAGGCGACCCGCGATGCATACTGCGAGCGTAAATTGATGGTGGTGACACGGCGAAGGCGTTAGACGACACGAGTCGTGTACATGCAATTAAATCAACTACTAGACGCGATGAGGTGTCATTAGTCAGTGGAGCGCGCACAAACTCATGCACGCATGCTTTCGCTGTGATGTGGGTTCGTGCGTGTGTTCGTTCCTTCCTTCGCGTGTGCTCGTTCGTTCTTGTGTGCGTGCGTTGGTTCGTGTGTATGTATGCGCGTTTATCGCCATGTGCCTGGGGAGCATAGATAGCTTCAGGCATCATGCGATTTCGCCAAGACGGGTATCTTCTCCATCGCATAACCCTCGATTTCTCGAAAGCGGTAGAATTTGAAAGAATAACGTGTTTGCTGTACAATTATAATAGGCCATCGAAAGTTTATTCGATAATCTCTGTTCGCAATCTTGGCGACTGACAACGGTATGCGTTTGAGCGATTAACTACATCTTGAAAGATTGTATTCAGTAGAGGTCATTCTCTATTGAAAGTGCGAATTGTGCGAATTGTGCTATAATTTGTGCGTGGGGTGAAAAACCTTGTCTCCGTAAGACTAGTGACAACACAGACTCCCACACATTTAGCGTTTGCATTTATGTGTGTGTTACGCATTCATTCGGTAGATTCGCGACATTAGTGACAATATAGAAGGCACGCTAACAAAATGTCATGTTTTCGTTACCTAATGGTATTTTGTATCTTCTCTCTGTCTCTCTGTCTCTCTCTCTCTCTCTCTCTCTCTCTCTCTCTCTTTCTCGCGCTCTCTCTCTCTTTCCTTCTTACTCTCACGCCTAGTGTTGAGTTTTTACATTGTAGAATTATACGGTACGATTATATCAATTGAGTTTAGTTTGCGTTCGTTTTCGATTTCTATGGTTAAATATTCTAACCCGATGATGTATTGTGTGTTCTGCACTTCCGTGGTAATGTTTCTTTACATAGATATGCTCAACGCTCGTAATTTCTCTAGCTATACACAGTTCGTAAAACACGGCGGGTTTTTTTTAGCGGAGGAGTATTTTTTATTGCCGTTACTAATAGCCAGGTGATTATTCAATAGAGGTGGCTGTTAACACAGGTCGCTACACAGGCTTGATTGTATATAATGAACAAATAAGTACAAAATAGTTTTGCCATTCACCGCATTTGTCAATTAGGTCTATCTGCCATCGGTCAAATGACAAGGTAATCTAAGTTAGGTTAGCGGGTGGGCCGCGTATTATTTCTTGCTTAGTTCGACCCATGAATCAGCCATATAGGACACCATGGTTCAAATAGAGTTGTATGTCGTGTTCATATTGAATACCGTTCGTACGGGCTAATCTCACGATAAATCTACAACTCTAGCCGTATAGAATAAATTAATGCTCGTGCTTCGACTGACACAGAAATACTCATTCATCGTATCGTCCCTTTATTACTAGATCTGATACTGAATCGCAAATGCGCTGCACGGCGGATGTACGTGTGACTGAACCGGATGTAAACAGATAATAATACTACGTGAGCGAGGCATTACCCTTAAAATGTGAGATTGAACGACTTGATACGCCTCCATTATTTACTCACAATGCGAAGTCACGAAATCAGTGTGTCAGCCGGCACACTGTACCAAGCCAGAAACTCGCCCCCCTCCCCCCGTTAAAGATGCTATGATGTTATAACGGGAAATAACGTCAATGATTACTCTTTAAGAATCTATGTAGCGTATTTCGGTGTCTCATAGCTAACCGCATGCACATTTGCTTTAAGTCGCTAAGCGTAATAGACATTAATTTTCGAGCATTCATCGCTATGTATACGATGCGTTTTCCTCGTCCATGTGGCCTATATGGCATTAACGTACTAGTCCTCATGCAAGACGTTTAATTATTTAAGACGCGTTTGCCTAATTAGTAATTCCCTCCCCCCTCTCTATCTCTTTCTCTCTCTCTCTCTCTCCTCTCTCTCCTCTCTCTCCGTCTCTCTCTCTCTCCCTTCTCATCTCTGTCCCTGTTCTGTCTTGGCTCTCATTTACTCTTTCTTATCTCTCTCTCTCTCTCTCCATCTCGCTCTCCTCGCTCTCTCCTCTCTCTCTCGTCCTGCATGTCTTGCTCTCATTTCTCATTTTCTCGGATCTATTCTCTCTCTCTACTCTTCCCTCGTCTCTCTCCTCTCTCTCCTTCTCTCTCTCCCCCCCTCCG